TACTATAGTACATGTATATATAGTAAGAGATACCTGTTGTATGTGTATGTTAGGTGAAGTAGGGAACTGTCGGTTACTGTCAAGCAGTCAAGTCACTCTACTGACTAAGTGCAACATAAAACTAGCAGAGTCATCATCGTTTCATCATTCGAAAAGACGATTTTGAAGCTCAGAAAAGATGCCTGAAATAAATCCAGAAGTACTCAAAGTATTTGGCTTTTGGAGTAGCATATTGCTTCTGAAACTGCTGGCGATGATGCCGTTAACTGCACGACAGCGAATAAAAAAAAATGTAAGTAAAATAATCATACAAGATAACCATATATTATATATGTATAATATATGTATTCATATGTTATATTATGTGAATATTTTTCATATAAAAACGTCTCTAATTAAATTGCAAACATAAAATTTTGATGCCATCTGTCATTAACATCACTGTTACTAAATTTGAAACAGTAATTTAAATTCCCAAACAAAAGTTATTACATTTCTTTTATCTCTATAAACATATACAAGCTGTTTCCTTTAACTCGAACATTTAGAACAATTCTATTGTTTTTAATAATACGACAAAATACATATTTAAAAAATTATTAATTTGCAATATTATATTATAAAAGAAGTTTTTCTCAAGATAGTAAATTTTTTAAATGGAATTTTTTAAATGAATATGATTTTTTTACATAATATTCTTCTAGTTTTGCATATTAAAAATAGATATTAAAGCAGAATTATAAAAAAATCATAGTTCATAAGAGATCTTATACTTTATTCTGATAAAATGTATCAAACATTTTTTACACACACACACACACACACACACACACACACACACACACACACACACACACACACACTGTATTAACACTTTTATGTATAGAATAAATCATGTATGTAAAGAAAATACATAGTTGTTTTTTAAAAGAGATATATAGTTGCATATTGCAAATTGCATATTCTGCAAAAATAACTATATTTTCTTTATAGCAATTAATTCCTCTCATTATTCTATAAGTATTAAGGTATATAAGTATGCATATAAATAATAAGGTACAAGTAATAAGATACAATTATCAAAAAATGAATAATTTATGAAATATTTATATTCATATCATTCATGTCAAATTATGTCAGAATAAAATATAAAATATCTCGTTAATTATTAATTTTTTGATAACTCTAATATTTTTATACGCAGAATAATTAAAAAAATCATAGGACTTATTTAAAGTTTTATTTCATAAAAAAAAAAATAATCTTGAAATTTCAAAAAATATGAGTTTGGAAAAAATTTGTTGTTTATTGTAATATAATATTTACTTTTTTGAAATAATTTTTTTTCTTTGATATTTTGTTGAATCATTAAAAGCAACAAATATTCTAAATAAAAATTATGTGGGTTAACTCTATCCAAATCTATTTTTAGAAGATTCTAAATATTCGAATTTAATAAAGAATTTAACAAAGAAACACTTTGTATATATTTTCTTCTTTAACTAAATAAACAAGAGAATTGATCTTATCGATTGTATTCCGATATTCACTGCCGAAAATCTATAATGCATGGAATGCATACTACAGATTCTTAGCTCTGACAGTGAATTGAGAACGCAGCCATCGTGACCTGTTTATGTCAGAATTTAGAACTAGAATGAAATTGATTATGACCAATTGTTGTAGGCATTCGCAAATCAAGAGGATATGATGCACTCAGGTAAAGGCAAGGTGGTTTATGATGATCCAGACGTGGAGCGTGTACGCAGAGCACACTTAAATGATTTGGAGAATATTCTCCCATGGTTCATTGTCACATATCTCTGGCTAGGAACAGGACCTTCGCCATGGTTGGCCAAAATTCTTATTCGAACCTTTGTACTTGCTCGCGTAGCTCACACTGCATCATACGTATTTTTGCAACAACAACCTACGAGAGCGATAGCTTTCTTCGTGGCATTTGGAATTACGGGCTACGAAGCAGTTAAGACATTAATGTATTATTCCTAAGGTTTACATAAATATTTTTTGAAGCAATCGAATTTGAATATACGTGAGATAAATATAATAATTATATAACAAGCTGTATATTGATGTTCTTTTGATATTTAAGAATAAAAAATTTTTCATTGTATATCTACAGATCATATTTTATTGAATTTCTGAAAATATATTGTATAATAAAATCAAAAAACATTGTTATATGTCTAGAAAGAAGTATAAAGCAAATAGGTAGACTGATCTAGTATTAAACATCTAAATTAAAGTCTCTTACATTTTTCTTTATAATTTCATCTACAGAGAATATTTTATTGATATTTTATTACTGTAAAAGTACATATGTGTGTGTTGTGTGTGTGTGTGTGTGTGTGTGTGTGTGTGTGTATAATATGATAGAATAAAAAACATTATCATATACAAAAAGTAAAAAATAAATAAATATAGACTGAACTAGTATTGATTAAATATTCAAATTAAAGATTTTTACGTTTCTCTTTATAATTTCATTCACAAAAAATATTTTACTAAATCTAAAAATATATGATATAATCAAACATAATGTTATCATATACATAATAATAATGTTATCATATACAAAGAAATATAAAGTAAATAGATATAAATCAGTGTTGATTAAATATCTAAATAATTAAGACATATTTTTCTTTATATAATTTCATCCATTAAAAAATATTTTACTTAACCTGAAAATATTATAGAACCTATTATATAATAGAAT